AATTAATTCCCTTACAAACTTAAGTAGTCAAGTTATCTACACAGTGATAGAACGGCAGACGCAGGACCTATTAACTTCGCAACGGGACCACCATAAAAGGATACAGCATTTGGAGAGAACTCTGCCCATTGAGCTTAAGTCTGAATGCCAACAGGTAAAGGTCAACTTAGAAAAGAGCATTCAGAAAGTAGGACAAGCAATGATGGATTGTATGTCACGAAGGGATGTTCAGCTGAAATCTTTAATTCAATCTTCCCCCACTGTAACATCTACTCCTCACTTCAGTTCACCTATATCAGCTGATAGTCCAACTTACCCTATACATTTTAAAACACCGATCAAGCTGGAGTTTCCAAGGTTTGGCAGTTTGGAGGGAGAGGACCCTATTTCTTACCTTGAAAAATGTGATGAGTATCTTGAAGTTCAACCGCTGACTGATGCAGAGATATTATCCATGTTACCTTCTGTTTTAACTCATACAGCTAAGGACTGGTGGATTGCGGAGAAGAAGAGGGTAAGGACTTGGAGTCAATTTAAGAAGGCCTTTCTACAGTCGTTTCTGCCTGATGACCATGAGGTTGAGGTTGAAAGAAGAATTAGAGAACGGAAACAAGGAGTTGATGAAAATATTCGAACCTTTGCTTATCAATATCGAGCCTTATGCCTACGACTGAAACCTTCCATGTCAGATCGTGAAATACTCCAAGCCACACTTAGGAACTGTAACCCTCGTGTCGCCAGCATACTCCGAGGCACTGTCTCTACGGTTGATGAGTTTGTACGGGTTGGTTCCCTAGTAGAAAGAGATATCGGTGAGGAAAGAGCCTACTGGAGACAGAGACAAGTAGAGCATCAGGCGAAGTTGAATGGAGTTAATAAAGCTACAAAGGGGCGACAGTTACATCATCACATTGCTGTAATGTCAGGGAATGTGAAGAAGCAACTTGACCCATTGTCCTTGCCAATTCCCATCAATAACTATAGATGTAGATCAATAACTATTCTTTACTTCAGGAGTCTTACTGGAAAAGATTGAAGTCAAGCACTGAAACGTTGCAGTCCAGCAGAGGTCAGACTTCCTCCCTTGCCAATGGTCATGTACAGACAGCCCTAGGAAAGGTAATCTGGAATTGTACACTCCATGGACAGAAGTATCCGTTCACGGCCTTTGTGATGAGAGATCAGGATTTGACTTTACCCATTGTACTTGGCCTGGAGTTTTTGATGGATTCACAGATCCAGATTGATTTCAAGGACAAGACCTACATTCTATCGGAGGAAGCGGAAGTAAAACATCCATTCATACCGTATGCATCTTCAGCAGTAATTAGTCTACATCTGGCGTTACCTCTAGTTCAAGTATCCTCCTTCACCTTGGCAACCATTGAAGAACTGGCCAGTCAGGCAGATGTTTCCAAAACCCAGAAAGAGCAGCTCGAAGCACTTATGCTTGATCGACCAACAATCTGCACAGACTCCCTGGGCCGAACTGCTGTGATCAGGCACGAGGTTAACACCATCGATGAGATTCCAGTTCGTAAACGAGCCTACCCTGCTTCTGTGGCCAGACAGCAATTCATTGATCAGGAAGTGTCCAATATGTTGGAAAAAGGGATAATTAGACCCTCAACTTCTCCATGGGCAGCTCCCATAGTTCTAGTCCCCAAGAAGGATGGTACCATGCGTTTCTGCATTGATTACAGAGCTTTAAATGCCAAGACACCTTTATATGGATTTCCCATGCCGCAAATTCAAGACATCCTTGAATCAATGTATGAGGCTTCAATTTTTAGTACATTGGATCTCAAAAGGGCCTATTGGCAGGTACTTATGGATGAGACTAGCATTCCAAAGACTGCTTTTGTAACCAAAAATGCACAATATGAATTTGTTTGTCTACCATTCGGATTGAAAAACTCAGCTGCAACTTTTCAGCACCTGATGAATACTGTGTTGAGGGACTGTATTGGAAAGTTCTGTTTTGTCTATCTTGACGATATTGTGATTTATTCCAAAAACATCCAAGAACATTTTGAACACTTTAAACAGCTCTTGGATGTGCTAGAAACCGTTGGATTGACCCTGAACCTGTCAAAGTGCAACATGCTCCAACAGTCCATCACTTTCTTGGGACATGTTGTGTCTGCCGAAGGAGTGAGTACTGAAACCGCCAAAGTGGAGGCTGTTCAAAACTTTCCTGTTCCAACAACTCTCAAAGAGGTACAACGCTTTTTAGGTCTTGCTGGGTGGTACCATAGGTTTATTCCACACTTTTCCGAAATCGCAGCACCATTGCATTCGCTCAAGAATAAAAATGTGGCTTGGGAGTGGACAATGGAATGCCAGCAGGCATTTGATAAACTGAAGAAAGCTCTTCAAAAAGCACCTGTGTTGGTACCCCCGGAATTCACAAAAAGTTTTAAAGTCCAAACAGATGCCAGTGATGTCGGCCTGGGAGCTGTGTTGACTCAAGATCATGACGGAGCTGAACATGTTATAGCTTATGCATCTAGACTTCTTCATGGAGCTGAAAAGTCCTATTCCACGGCCGAAAAGGAATGTCTGGCGGTGATTTGGGCAGTTGAGAAGTGGAAACAGTATTTGGAAGGGAAACGTTTCGAAGTGTTAATGGATCATGCTGCTCTTACATGGGTTTTCAATCATCCCCGCCCAACTTCACGACTGACCAGGTGGGCTTTGAGGCTACAAATCTTTGACTTCACAGTTAAATATCGAAAGGGACAATGTAATGTGGTACCCGGAGATATCCACTCGATGGGGTGTGCCCACCTATCTGGTCTCAGACCGTGGACCCCAGTTTACAGCACAACTTCTGAATGATAGCTGTAAGCGCTGGGGGGTTATTCATAAGTTAACAACAGCATACCATCCTCAAACTAATATTACAGAAAGAACCAACCGAACTCTAAAGGCTATGATATCTTCCTATGTTAAGGACAACCATAGACAATGGGATAGATGGATCTTTGAGTTCCGGTATGCCATAAACACGGCGTGGCAGGAAAGTACTGGTCTAAACCCTGCAGAGATTGCATTAGGCCGCAAGCTAAAAGGACCCTTGGAACGTCTCATTCGAAATCCACCTAATCCTGATAATATGGCCTATGGTACTGTTGAGAGGCAGAGAGAACTGATTGAACGAGTAATAGAGAAGTCTAGTCAAGCTCAGGAGTGACTAGCAAGGTACTATAAAAGAAGAAGGAAACTTGAGTCGTTCGAGGAGGGAGACTTAGTCTGGATACGTACTCACCCTCTGTCTCGAGCTTCAGAATCCTATATGGCCAAACTGGCACCGAAATGGCAAGGTCCAGCTAAGGTTTTGAAAAGGTTAAACCAGGTTAACTACCAGGTAGGGATGTTGGATGACTCAAAACCAGTTGAAACTTTTCATGTAGAGAAAATGAAAAAGTTTTATGGAGTTGTTTAATTTTTTTTTAAGGGGAGGGGTGTGTAACAGTTTCCCTGTTACTTATGTACCAGAAATCCTCTTTGAGCAGTATTGTCCCTACTCACCTGAGCATTAGGGGGCGCTCTGGTAAAGTAATGCATGAATTTACCTATTTAAGGTAGCAAAGAAGGAGTAATGGCAGGAAGTTAATTCTCTATCTTCTTTGGAGAAGCTTACCTCATGGTGGTTTGAGACTTTGTACCCTGTTTGAGGAACTTTATAGTTCTAAGCTCATCCGTAAGTAATTGTTTATGGTATTTTGTTTTGTTAACAATAAGTGTTTGTAGCACATGGTTATGGTATGTTTAAATGTTTGTCTACAGAGGGTTTGTGTTCTGAGCCTATATGGATTATTTGGTGGCTTAAACATCTGAGAAGCCTGGAACTAGGAGAGCTGACTGCTTAAAAGCAACGCTGGACTTCAAATATCTCTTTGCTGGGGAATCATCTGGGCATTCAAGTACTGTTTTTTTTTTAACTTCATGTTTCAACAAAGATTGTGCTCTCACTTTATACCCTCTACCACAAAGACTGAGCAAAGTACAGTATATGGGTCCAAGTGATTACAAGCCAGGCGCTCTGTTTTGGGATACTGGACTGGTTTTATGCTCTGGTCCTAACTGTTGAACTCTCAATTGTGTGTCATATTGAATTTGTATGTGCTTGGTAATTATATTTAATACACCTGACTCATGAGTAGGATTGGTCTGTTTGGTCCCTCATTTCGTGTAGCATTTGCACAAAAGACAAAGGTATACGTGTTACAACTGTATCGGTCGGGTCTTCTGTCACAATTCACTCGGGGAGCAAGGAACGAGGAAACGAGGAGTTCTTGAATAACACAGTCTTTAATAATCCACAGGAAAACCGAGAACAAGGAGGACATTCAACAAGTAGACCCGACAAACAAGAACTGAAAGGACTAGGGCTTTTAAACTCAGGATAATAAGGAAGGAACTAGACACACCTGGGATCAAATTAACAATCAACATTGTTAACAAACAAAAAAAACTGGGTCACAGGCGCAAAAACACACACAGAATAGTCCATAATCCTGACAGTAAGTGAGCATTTTTTCACACTAAAATAATGTTTAGACATATTTATGGCTGTACTGCTGAAACAGTGAGTACTTGAATGACAGTTTGGTCCTATTCACTACCCGGTGTAAGAAGAACCAACTTTTTTTCAAGAGAAATGGAAGGACAAATGGTATTAACATTATGCCACAAATGCTTTTTAAGCATTACATGCTATTTAATGTAGCCATCCTCTTCTAAACAACTGGCAGATTTAAGAGCAGATCAGCAGGCTTACTAGACTATGGTACTGTTGAACTGCTGTGGTACTGCTTCTTCACAGTGCTGCAGAGCCAGTGGGAGAATGTTGTCAGGAGGCTTTCGCTGTGCCATCTTGCCATGTGCAAAGTGTGATGATCTGACAGATTGACACAAGCCATCTTTTAGCCCCTGTTTTTGGGGGAAGAAAAGACCATGTGTTCTGTGTGTGGAACAGACACATTTCTGCATTGCTAATGTCTGTTGAACAATGCAGATGAGTTCTGTTTTCTGTTTGTTTGTTTATTTCACTTTTAAAGCACACATTTATACAACTATTGTTGCCAAAGGTGCTGTACAAACAAAGTAAAGCAAATAAAACCAAGAACATACAAAGATAAATTTAAACACTAAAAATCCAATGACACCCGTCAATACCCAGTAGAATTAAAAGCCTGAGATAATAAATGCATTTTTAACCGAGTTTTAAATGTAAATATAGTTGGAGCTGCTCTAACATACAGGGGTAAAAGATTCCACAGTCTAGGTGCAGCTACCGAAAAGGCACGATCACCCCTAAGTTTTAATCTAGACCTAGGAACAGTTAGAAGCAGCTGATCAGAGGACCTAAGGGATCTAGTAGGCGTGTGTCGTTTAAGAAGGTCTGCAAGGTAAGGAGGTGCCAAAGCATTTAATGATTTAAAAACAAACAATAAAAGCTTGAATTCTATTTGGAAACGTACTGGCAGCCAATGAAGGGAAAATAGAACTGGTGTGATGTGCTCTCGTTTTCGAGTGCCTGTCAGCATCCTAGCTGCTGCATTTTGGACTGCCTGCAAATGTGACAATGCTTTCTGGCTAACTCCTATATAAAGGGAATTACAATATTCAAGCCTTGAAAAAATAAAGGCATGGATGACTTTCTCAAGGTCTTTAAAAGAGAGAAATATCTTTACCTTAGCCAAAAGTCTCAAGTGGAAAAAGCTGGATTTAACGACAGCATTAATTTGCATATCAAATTTGAAATCTTTATCAAATAAAACACCCAGATTTTTCACCACCATCTTATTATACGAGGCCAGAGGGCCAAGGTTAACAGTCTCACTCGGCCCAAAAATAATAATCTCTGTTTTGTTTTCATTTAGTTTTAAAAAATGTAAATTCATCCAGCCTTTTATATCATTTAAACATTCTAAAATAGGAGTTAGAACATTCTTGTTATTCTGTTGTAATGGTAGATATATCTGCGTATCGTCTGCATAACAGTGAAATGAGACATTATGCTTCTTAAAGATAGACCCCAAAGGGAGCATATATAGAGAAAAACGTAATGGGGCCAGAATGGACCCTTGAGGGACGCCACAGGAGAGAGGAACTGAGGTAGATAAAAATTCACCAAAATTAACTGCAAAGCTTCTATTTGATAAATACGACTTAAACCACTGAAGAACCACTCCTTGAATTCCTGCATATTGCTCAAGACGAGAAACCAAGATAGTGTGTTCAACAGTATCAAAAGCCGCACTAAGATCTAATAAAACTAGGATTGCAGAGGCTCCAGAGTCAACGGTTAATAAAATATCATTGTAGACTTTTAAGAGTGCCGATTCTGTACTGTGTTTTGTTCTAAAACCTGATTGGAAAACCTTGAGTACTGAATTTTTCTCTAAAAAGGGCTGTAATTGAGTGAAAACTACTTTCTCCAACACTTTTGAAAAAAAAAGGGAAGTTTCGAAATCGGTCTAAAATTTGAACAAACTGTAGGATCCAGATTAGCTTTTTTAATAAGAGGCTGCACTATTGCATGTTTAAAATAGACAGGAACAGAGCCTGAGACCAAGCAACAATTAATTATTGCCATGACACTCGGACCAATAACACTAAAAGCTTGTTTAAAAATGTGAGTAGGGATAATATCTTGATGGCAAACTGTAGGCTTCAAATGTTCAACGATCTCCCCCAAGGTTGCAAAAGATACAGGCTCAAACTGATTAAAAACAGCAGAGCATGTAGATGGGGCTGATGGATCGTAATCCGGTAGTTGGATAGATGATCTAGTAACTTCAATCTTCTCAATAAAATATTTAAGAAAATTTTCACAAGTTTGTAAAGAGGCATCAAGACAATCAGGAGCAGGAGGATTAATAACAGAATTTAACGTATTAAACAAAACTCTAGGTTTGTGACGATTTTCTCACAATAATTTAACGTATTAAACAAAACTCTAGGTTTGTGAGTTCTCACAATACTCCAGGTCAAACAAGCACCAACCTAGCATTAGCCCACCAGATAGACCAGCACTAAACTAGCAGCATGGAAATTCAAGCTGGTCTAAGCTGAGACGTGCATCTGTCTGATACTTGTACTACTGCATGCGAAAAGCATACTAGGTGCACACAGTGAAAAGGTGAAGGGGAGGTAAACAGGGAATAGCTGTCAGATAGAAATGGAGAGATATATTGCCAGAGAATCCAATTGCTATTTATATAATGCTATCCAGTACAGAGAATCGTAGGTGTCTTCTGCCATTGCTAACCCAAATGTGCATGTGTATGGGAATATATTTAGATAGAGATTCTGTTTTTGTCTCAGTTACTTTGATATTCGATAATATTAATAACCTGACATTCTGAAAGGTGTTCCCAGGAATTGCTGTAGTGACTTTTGCTTTTGAGTAAAAATGAGCCAGTAACAGTCTTGTACTTTTTTTAAATGAGCCTCTGTATTGTTGTAATCCACATTTTCTGGTAAAAAATCCCCAATTTAGCATGGCCATACAATATTTACAATAATTATTGTAGTAAAATATGGATTTGGATTAGCTTCAAACTGAAATCCTGCTTTTTGAGAATCATTCAAAACCAGTGAGGTGGTGTTAGCATGTGCAGGTTTCAGGGGACAATAGGTTTTAATCATCCCATCCCAGAAGTATAGTTTTCCCTCTTTTTTTCTTAGTGCACACCATTGAGAAATCCATTTTCTGATTTGGATACTCTCCGCCTCTTTATTAAATCCACTCAAATATCATGCGAAACACATTTGTTGTGATTATTATGCAATCAAAGTTTATTTATTGGACATTTTACCTTACAATTTCCTTTTCAAAGAGAAACAAAGTACAATTGTCAGCCATTACACTTTGAGACAATTATTCCCTCTGGAAATTTGGGTAGACATCTTAATTACACTGTCATCTATTATATTATTCTTCATGGTGAAGCCAATCCAAAAATGAATTATGATGAGCTCAGTGAAAAAAAAAATCCAAGATGGTGGATGAGACGAGAGAAATGCAGATTATAAATGAACATAATTCATTCAATATTGAAACGTATTAGGGTGCTTTCACACCTAGCCTGTTGTTTCGGAACCTGGCACGTTTCCCCCCTTAGCTCGGTTCGTTTGGGCATATGTGAACACGGCAATCGCGCTCGGATCCGTGCCAAAACAATCAGTCTGAGATCGCCTGAACGAGGTGGTCTCGGCTCGATTGAAAATGAACTCTGGAGCGGTTCGGTTGTAGTGAGAAAGCAATTCGATCCAACGGACCAACGAACCAGGCTATATCACAATTTATGATGAGTAATTACGTAAGTTCCGTGAAAAGCATTAGCTTTGTTGTTTTGCTAATACCTCAAAATGAACCTGTGAATGTCCGTGGGTGAGCACGTCTTTGCCATTCAAAAATCAAAGCGCACTTTTTTATTTTGTAATGTCGTCTTATTGCTCTTCTTTGTAGTAGGTGCATTTAAAAAATGTTTTCCCAATCAATCCTAGACTCCTGCTCAAAATGATAAATTATTATAAGGACAGCTACAAAAAAACAACAACAATAAGCCCGCAAAGCTGTTATCGTTCCATCCTAACGGACGACATGCGTGACAGCTAAGTGGAATCCCGGAAAATAAACCGTGGAACTTTGACCAATGAGAGAACAGTTTACTCGCGCGTGACTTGTATTAACAAATTTGGTCCGTTTAGAAACTTTGCCATGTGAAAGCGAACCGCACCAAGAATAAAAAGCAACATTGTAATAATTTTAATCCCTGTTTCGGAACAAAGCAATCGATCTACAGGTGTGAAAGCACCCTTAGAGTATCGTGTTGTTAGCTTAGCGACACGCTTTTAAAATCAGTTATAAGTTGAGTTTCCCATGTTGAGTTCAATTTGTGAGGCTTGTAAA